GGATGCCGCCGTCATAGGAAGCGGTGTAGACGCTGGTCCCGTCGGCGGAGAAGGCGGCCGCGTTGACGTTGCCCCGGTGCCCTTCGAGAACGGCCCGCTCGGTCAGGGACGCCTCGCCTATCTCGTAGACCCGTGCGGTGCGATCCCAGGATGCGGTCACCGCGAAGCGGGCATCCGGGCTGACGCTGACGGACAGTATCTTTTCCTCGCCGGTATCGATCCGCGTCAGCATTGCCCCGTCATCGAGGTTCCACAGGATGACCGCTCCGTCGTCGCCAACGGAAACGGCCCGCCCCTGCCCTGCGAAGCGGGCGTCATTGGCCGCAGCCTCATGGCCGATCAAGCGGTGAACGATCTCGCCCGTTCCGGCCCCGATGCGCCAGAGAATGACGGAATAGTCAAACGACGTGGAGAGCGCCGCCGTCCCGTCCTGCGAAAGCGCTATGGACTTGACCGGGCCGCCATGCCCTTCGAGGCGCTCCGGCCAGGTAGCCGGAGCCGTTGCGCTCTCCCCGGCGGGCGCACCCGTATCGGCGATCGCATCGCTGCCGGCGAAAGCCAGGCATATCGCTGCGACGGCAAGCAGGAACGCAGCACCAGGATGACGCATCATGCGACCCATGCAACTACTCTGCAGGCTGCGCCGCCGGCGGATGCTTTTCTTCGCCCTGCCGGGCAAGCACTTCCTCGACCCAGAGCGAGTGATGCTCCTTCGCCCAGTTGAGGTCGACCTCGCCGCTGCCCATCGCATCGAAGGCGCCTTCCATGCCGATGGAGCCGATATAGATATGGGCAATGATGACGCAGATCAGGAACACGCTCATGATCGCGTGCCAAAGGGAGGCAAGCTGCTGTTCCTGCAGCACGGTCAGCGCCGTCGGCAGTTCCGTGCCGAACACGGAGTTCACCGCCCCGAAGGTGCCGGAGAAAAAGTGCGTGGTGTAGGGAAAGAGCAGCGACCAGCCCGACATGGAGATCGAGATGCCGCAAAGGATCGTCAGCCAGAAGATCATCTTCTGACCGGCATTGAACTTCTTTGCCGGCGGATGCAGCTTTTTCGAGAAAATGCCGCCGCCCTGGAGGATCCACTTGATGTCGCTCGTGTGCGGCAGGTTGTGACGAACCCACATCGCGAAGATGATCACAAGGCCGGCCATGAAGGCGAAGGCAAGGTAGTTGTGAAGATACTTGCCAAAGAGCGTCACCGCGCCGAAGGCGTCCGGACCGATAACCGGGAGCAGGACATAGCGGCCATACATGACGTTGAGGCCGGTCAGCGCCAGGACGATGAAGGACGAGGCCAACAGCCAGTGGCCGAACCGCTCGACCGCCGCGAAACGCGTGATCGTCTGGTCCGAGCGGCCATGCTCGATCCGGATCCGGCCGCGAATGGCGAAGAAGATGCAGAGCACCACCACCATGGCCAGCAGCGCCCAACTGGCGTAGAGCGCCAGCGGTCCGTTGCGCAGGGAGCGCCAGAGTTCGCCTTCCGACTGGACGAGGGTTGCCGCGTTCTTGTCGGGAATGGAGACGTTTCCGGCAACGCCCTGCCGCACGGCGCGCCAGAGTTCCGTGTCGGAATTCGTGCCGAGCGTGTTGCCCGGGACCTGGCCCTGGACCGGTGCTTCCGCCGCAGGATCGCCAGCGGGCTGCTGCGCGTTGGCCGAGGTGCCGGCGCCCTGAAGGACCATGACACCGAGGACCATCGCAACCAGGGCGGCAAGGCCGCGTGACAGGAGCGCCCCGCCGAACCCTCGGGCGAAGCAGGCGATTGCCATTCCGTTCATCTTCTCTCCCTCCCCTGGCATTGCCGGGGCTTCACCGCTCGTGGCGCGCGCTCATCTCCGTCCGGCAGCGCCCGTCACAAGCATTGGCGCTCAGAAGCGCTGACTGCCCGCGCGGTTCTGCAGCTCGCGACGATCCGCCTCGCTCAAAGTCTCGTCGGGTGTGCCCTGATAGACACCCTTTTGCGTGTGCAGGGCACGGTTCTGTTCCTCGTCCCGGCATCCCGGAACAAGCATGAGCGCGGTGCATGCAAGCACCGCCATGCCCCAGCCAGCCCTTCCCGATCTCACGTCCAGGTCTCCTTGTCGCTCCGCCGTCCGTCCGGACGGGATCTGCGCAATGTCAAAAGCGCCGCTCCTCCCGCGGTATCCCGGGAGATAGCGGACAAAGCCTCGTCAGCAAGGACACCGGTGACGGGTCTTGCCTTGAGCTGTCGAAAACAAAGGCGGCCATGAGCCGCCTTTGCCAGTTCCCGCCGTCCTGATCCGGACGGATCAGAAGCTCCCGGCCTTCTGCTCGTAAGCCGTGCCCCAACCCCAGGCGCCGGATCCGAAACCGCGCGCCACGACGCGTTCGCGGTAGATCGCCGAGACGACGTCGCCATCGCCGGCGAGCAGCGCCTTGGTCGAACACATCTCGGCGCAGAGCGGCAGCTTGCCCTCGGCCAGACGGTTGCGGCCATACTTGGCGAACTCGGCCGAGGAATTGTCAGCCTCGGGACCGCCGGCACAGAAGGTGCACTTGTCCATCTTGC